GGTATCCATGTCTTGAAATTTCGTGGCGTCATTGCCGTTGCTAAAAAAATTCATTTTTTGAACTGAAAATTAAGTGACAAGAGTATAAAAAAGACGCCATTATGAGATTTGCTGTCCGGCTGTGATCTGTGCCTTTACATGTACAATAACTGCAATTTGTGATAAACGCTGAAGAAGTGCATTGATTACAGTTCCAACGTAATTGTCCATTTTGCGGACGAGGCGGAATCTCCCGACATCTTGAATCATATTTTTTATGGTGTAAGGGAGATAACTCTCATAACAACGAACGTAGTTTTTCCCGTTTTCCGTTAGAGGTGGTGATTTACGTACCTCTCACCTTAACCACAATCCCGTCCTCTTTTCCTCGAATGTGACGTACCGAATTATCACCGGGTTTGTACTTACATGATCAACACGATGAATACCACATGTGTAGCAGGATCCGCACACTCTTCCGGAGCACCTGAGATCACCTCCGGTTTTTTGGTGGGAATCGTGTTGCTCAGTCCTAAGTTTTCTTTGCTGTGGTTTGTGTTTTGTTGTTTGTTTTGTAATCGTGTTTCGTTTATTACCCTGGCGTTGTCAGTTGTTTTCGACTAATGAGTATGAATATCCATATGGTACTTACGGCTTTCTTTTATACTTAAACATAGTTTGTTTGCATAATTGATCATTTTCATCATTCATCTACTTTCTTTCAGTAATGTCACAAGATGGTTTTCGAACCTTGATTCTTAATTGATTCGAATCTCTGCTGGTCCACACCGTGGTTGTGTTTTATAAAAGTTTTGATGTCCAAATCGTTTGTTATTTTGGTTTTGCAGGGGGTTTGTTTTTGTGTACATCTATACGATTTGTCTCCGTTTTACAATGCATTAGATAACTTATATGTGTGATCATAAAAAACAATTACAGACCTATTGAATAATGTCGATCTTGTCATGTCGAACATGTGAACACTATACAATTTTATACCTTAGCGACTCTGAATTTTGGAAGAGAAATGAGTATTAACTCATTTATTTACCTAGGGTGGTTAATTTTTATTCGAGACTCGCATTCAGGATACAATGCATATTTAAAATGTTCCTTTAAATGGCGCAAAAGCAGTATTATTTTAAGCAGAAATGAAATAGAGCCTTGTGGCGCTAATGGAATACTGTATTTTTTTTCAAATTGGTGCAAAAACAATTACCTAGAAACATATTTCATGACATACAGCAACCAACGCCAAGCAGTTAAACAGTTAAAGATAGTCCAGTCTTATGTTGGAGCATTCTAAAATAAAGTTTGCTATAAGTTTGCTATTAGCATTAAAGATTACTGTAATGACTTCGTTTGGAGAGAGTTCGTCAATGTTTACTGGGTGAATATATTATAACTCGTGTAACAGTTTGTTTCTTGCATCAGTATAACGGTCACAATAGATGACGAAATGTGTTGCGTCTTCGACCGAACCTGAATCACTCAATTTATAAAACTAAAACGTAGATCAACTGGAATGTTTCTGTAACGACCTTGTTTAATTTCTAAAGGAAAGGTTCTAGAGCGAATCCTTGCAATTGCTGATCACTGTACCCTTGACAAATGTCTTTTTTTACATATGGTTCCGTTAAGAATTTGGACTTTAAAGTTTTATACGTTCTCAGTTTTGGCATTGTACGCACTTCATTTATCCATCTATCTTTGAAGTCATTTACACATTTACTTTTGACTGTTTCTATTTCGTAGTTTATAGAAATGTTGTCGCTACTGTAGTTAATCAAATGCGTAAGACTACAATCTACATGTACAAGTAAATTTCTTGATATGTTGAAATGCATACATACAAATATTTTTAAATTGAGAAAAAAAACATAAGGGATGTGTATTTGCAGACTTTCTTGATCCTTTCATTCTATTCCCAAGCACCAAAATTAATGGACAGATACGTTGACTGACAGGAGGTTTAAAGTCACAATGGTCATTCTCAATGATCTGTTATCGATTATTCCTAACTTTAATGATCAAGTTGATTTTGAGATATAACTTATACATTCGTCCGCGAAACCCTGTATTTTGCCAGTGAATGCTACTGTCAGTGTAACTGCTAAAACAAAGTCTATTTATCAGTAAAATACGGAAAAAAGTAATAATGATTTAAAACATTTTCCTCAAGATGGTATTTTTTTTATTATAAAGAAGCATCAAATTTCTAAGTTTCTTAACATTCTATGAAAGTATGTCAAAATTTTTGATTAAAAAAAAATAACCCGAGATTGTATGTACATGTTGATTGTTAATCGAGTACTTCTATCAGTTCACAGTCTGACTATAGCCAATCCAACTATTCACATGCGTTTGTAGGCCTATAAAATTTATTAAAATTATATAAAGGACTGTCAAAGTTATCGATGAATAAAAGAGAGGCAAAGAATACATTTTCAAAGGGGTATTTAAATTCATAAGTCGAAAACAAACTGACAATGCCACGGCAAAAAAAAAAAAAAAATACGACGAAAAGACAAACAACAGTACGTTACACAAAACACAACACATAAAGCTAAAGACTGAGCAACACGAACCCCACAAAACTCCGGGGTTGATCTCCATTGCTCTGGTTCCATAACGAACAACCAACTCGTAGAGATGATTTCAACTTCACCACTTGGAACTCTTGATTCAATAGCTTCCTTGTAAGCAGCAACCCTCAATCAAGGATATAATATCAACTGGGACCACACCACAGTGAACACCAACCCCCAGTATTGACGAGATCAACTCCAAACTTGTTGGGATAATAACAGAAAACATTTTTTATTCAGATGGTAAAAGAACCAATCAGAGGAAAAAACATATTGGACCTGATGTTTACCAACAATCCAGGACTGATAGAAAGAACACAAATACAGCCTGGAATGAGCGGCCATGAAATTCTAATTACAGATATCAACATAAAAAAACCAAGAAATGTATATATGTAGGACTCAAATCTATGGCGGGTTCCAAATCTATGGCAGATTCCTAATCTATGGCAAATATGACGTTACAAACGCCAAACAAATCAAATCTATGGCAGATTTAGGAATTACGTAATTTTCCGGGAAAAAGAGTAACACAAAACTTCACAATAAAATAACGCCATGTTAGTCGTCGCCGACAGTAAAGTTGTTGGCTCTCCAAACTTTCCTGAAGTCCTATGTTTAAAATACGCAGGAAACACTTTCCGCTTTCCCTATAGAACAATTTGCCGATGGTTTGAATAAAGATGTGATCTTTTATCCATAGGAGGGGCACCAATTATTTTACCGTCCGAATCCCGCGATCAAGAAAGGCACAGCTGTTTTAGTAATGGATATTTTGGGAATGCAGATATAGTAAATATTTTAGCGTCTACGGCTGGCAAAGTATTTAAAGTGAGAAAATGAAATTACAGGATACCACCTGGACTTAAATCGTCACCAGTTAAAAAAGATTGATTAACGCTGAAATAAATATTATGTGAAAAGTCAAACTGTTTAAATTGTTTTTTTTTTTATAAAAAACTGCTTTCTTGTTTGTTAAAAGACTTCCATTTTTCTAGTTGTTTTAATTAATGGATTAAACAGGTACTATGCACAGATTAGGAAATGCTTATTTTTCCGGGGAAGATAATTTTAATCCCGATTTCTGTATTATGGTATATCACTTCTACACTTTTTTTATGGTTGACATCACGATTTGATTGACCATTATGGAATTTTTATTTCACAAATGTTTATAAACATGCTCCCGTTGTCGTACATTTCAACTTATTTAAGACAAGTCAGTGATTGTATATGTACTGCCTTGCTCTACATTTGCACAAAATCTGCCATAGATTTGGAAACAACAAAAATCTGCCATAGATTTGGAAATTACAAAACTTGCCATAGATTAGGATTTTAAAAAATCTGCCATAGATTGGGGATGGCATGACGTCATATTTACCATAGATTAGGAATCTGCCATAGATCTGGAACCCACCATAGATTTGAGTCCTACATATATCTCAACTGGATCAATGCTTGGCTTACCTAACGAAATCAACGAGCGTGTATACAGTAGGACAACCGGAAGCGCCTGAGTAAGGATTTCGGTGATCAGTGATACGGTTCACTAGACGACGTTGTCAACACGTAATGGCGGCCAGAACTTGACGATGATTTTGGGATTCCAGGCTGATAAGTTAAATCATGTCATAACTTGATGCTTTAACATTATATATGCTACACGATAACTTAAAAGGTAAATGCTATATTTTTACCTTATGGCTGTGTTTAGACCTCAAAAACTACTCTGAGTACAGACTAACCTGTGCAGTTGGAAAAGTTTTAAGGCCTGGCATCCACTAGATATATAAAAGTTAAATGCTTTTGTTGTTTCAGAAAGATAAAATCTTTTTTGGATTTTGATGAGCATTTTTTTTCGTTCCAGCAGAAGGTGTAAAAATAAACTAAGTTGGGATACAACTTTGAGATGCTCCCTCTCAGGTAAAAACTGTATTGTATTGTAGTGATTGTCCTTGATTGGCATGGACAATAGACAGACAATAGATATCTACACAACTATAGGTGAGTTAAAGGGTGTAACTGAGTGGACAGTATCAAAAGCAACTCAGGTGTTTGTTTATTTTTACACCTTCTGCAGGAACGAAAAAAAATGCCCATCAAAATCAAAAAAAAGATTTTATCTTTCTGAAACACAAAATGCATTTAACTTTTATATATCTAGTGGATGCCAGGCCTTAAAACTTTTCCAACTGCACAGGTGAGTCTGTACTCAGAGTAGTTTTTGAGATGTAAATACAGCTATTTTTGTCCATTTGTTATGATGAACCTTAAATACTTTACAAATAAGAGTGCGTTCATGAATATTTAGACGGCACAAATGAAGTGATCTGAACTGACGTGTAAAAGATTTGATGCAGGAAATCACATTCATTTCATTTTAATTCATTAACCACTACCATAAAAGATAAAATTCGGATTGAACTCAAGCTATCCGCCTTTGACTCCGGTGATAAACCAATTCACAAGACATCCGTTTTCCAGATAGTTGACATTTTTTACAGACACATGGCACACAGATAAAAGATCATAAAAGCACGTTTTTTAAGTCTTGGAAGATAAACATCAAATACTGACCAAAGTGAGTAAAATTAAAATGCACATGCGGTCAGGTCATACCGACTATTAGTTCTGAACTTCTGGTACCACTGCACTTTCAAATTGTCTTTGTGCAATGATATGATTACGATAATGTCATTTATCAGGTTGGGAACAACACCTCTACTGAGGGGTAACCCCTCTATGTAATGACTATCCCTTTTATGAGGGGGACATTTCAAGTGTTAGTTTTTGTTTGTTTGTAAAACCACTTTTTATTACAAATGTCGTGAAATGAGCACATATCTATATTATTTGAAGAAACTTTTCACAAAAGAACTATAAATTAGTATAAATCTATCTTATTTTATATGGTCAAAACATGTCCAAGAATTTTGCAATATTCCTGTGCTCATATCTTCTTTATTATTAAAAATAATTGGACCCCTCTTTTAGAAGAATTGTTCCAAATATAATGAATTTTTCCCCTTTTAAGTTCAAAAATCTAAGTCTTTCTTTTTTCTTTTCTACAACAGTAAAATGACCCCTGGTATGATTGACAGTCCCTCATTTAAGTGATGTCCCTCATTTGGGGGGTTGTTCCCAACCTGTTTATTATAATATTAATGAGCAATCAGCTATAATTTGTTCTCATGGTTTTCTGTTGTCCATGTTGTCTGTTTGTTCTGAACTGGCAAAAAATGCTAAAAAACAGCGTTAAAAGGGAAAAGTAGAAGGAAAGGACCAGATATTTAGGAAATTTGTTCAATTTGTGACATTTTGGTGCATGGTAAATGATTAGTCAAAATAATTATTACGTCTTGAAAGGCTATTAAACTTTTTTCCTTATACGCCTTACATCGCCACTGTAAGGCGTCAAAGAAAAAAAGTATAATAGCCTTTCAAGGCGTCATAATAATTGGGAAGGTAAATGATATATGAGTGGGAAATTGTTGGAAATTATGATTTTGAAAATTGGTGGTAAGAAACTTGTTTATTGCCTTTTGGTGTTTTATATAGGATAACGACCAACATTGACAGTCAAACCTCGTCTGACCCACTAAACAAGCCCTATGATATAATATGCTCCAAAAAAACCCTATGATATTATAACATTATTTTCTAACCAGAACTTACATGTTCATTGAAACAACTCGTAACTTAAGGTAAGAAATATATTTCACATTAGCAGTTGACTAAACTTCATACATGTATATACAAAAAATGTTATAAATAGTTTCCAACACTGGCAACATGTAAGTCAAATAAAATGGAATGAGTTAGATTTTATACCTTAATTTATTACCAAGATATTGTCAAAAATGCTACTCATGCTTGATGATATAGTATATTTTCCCTTGTAAGAATTTATATTCATTTCTGATACCAATCTAACAAAGTCTCCATTCAATAAGTATTCAATGTTTTCAGCTAACATTATTATTTTAAATTTGACAGTGTTCAGCGGAAAGTATTACAATGAGATTTGTATGGCAGAGATCAAACACAATATATCTAGAAGAACATATACTGACACATGGAATATAAAGAAGAAGGTAAGATGGTGAAAAACAGGATATATTTGAAAGGGAAAACATTTCTTATTTTAATCTAATAGACTGATTATGACCTATATAAATTAGATTTCATTACTGTGATAAAAATATGTTAATTTCCATCAGGAAATTGGTATACCTTATTTCCTATTAATTGGTACAAAATATGCTTTACAACCAAAAATAGTGTATAAAATTTCAGAAAAATAGTGTTTAAAGTAAACAATGTAAAAAAATATCATGTTCTGCAATTGAGTAAAAAAAGTCATTTCATATAAGGAAGAGGGATGTATAAGTACTCTCCCACACATTGGGCTTACTAAGATTTGTCAACTGTCTAGCAAATAATATTTTACAATTATAATAAAATGAGTACTTGTGGCATAGTTGCCAATGAGATAACTTTGTACCAGAGACCAAAGGACATATGGACGAGTACTGAAAATTGTCTCTTGTCTTCTACAACAGGAATACTGATGTAAGCATTTTTTATCGTAAAATTCTTACTTACAGATTGTGGTTTGAAAGTATATTTCTTTCCTAGTAAAAATTTATATCAATTTCTGGTACCTTTCTAACAAACTTTTGATATGTCTTCATTCATTTTATTTTTAATGTTTTGCAGCTAGAGTTATTATTTCAAATTAGTCCGTGTTCAGCAGCAAGTATTACAATGTGATTTGGATGAGAACAAAAGATGTATATGTTGAGGCACATACTGACCCATAGAATAAAGAGAATAAGGAAAGACAGTGAAAAACAGGAAATATTTGAAAGGGTAAACATTTCTTTTTTAAATATAATAGACTGATTTATAATGATCTAACTAGATTTCATTACCGTGATAAAAATTTATGTTAATTTCCATCAGGAAATTGGTATATCTTATTTCATATTAATTGGTGCAAAATATGCTTTACAACCAAAAATAGTGTATAAAATTTCAGAAAATAGTGTGTAAAGTAAACAATGTAAAAATATATCATGTTCTGCAATTGAGTAAAAAGAGTCATTTCATATAAGGAAGAGGGATGTATAAGTACTCTCCCGCATATTGGGCTTACTAATATTTGTCAACAGTCTAACAAATAATATTTTACAATAATAAAATGAGTACTTGTGGCATGGTTGCCAATGAGATAACTTTGTACCAGAGACCAAAGGACATATGGACGAGTACTGAAAATTGTCTCTTGTCTTCTACAACAGGAATACTGATGTAAGCATTTTTTATCGTAAAATTCTTACTTACAGATTGTGGTTTGAAAGTATATTTCTTTCCTAGTAAAAAATTATATCAATTTCTGGTACCTTTCTAACAAACTTTTGATATGTCTTCATTCATTTTATTTTCAATGTTTTGCAGCTAGAGTTATTATTTCAAATTGGACATTGTTCAGCGGCAAGTATTACAATGTGATTTGGATGAGAACAAAAGATATATATCGGAACTGTTATGTAAATGAAATCATTCTCGCCAAAAATAAAATGGGAATGTTCTGCTTTCAGAATGTGAAAACAGATGAATTAAAGTGTATAGCTACAACCTGCTGAAAGATGTTTTGCTGATACATGTGATATGGGATATTTGGAACTAAAATTGTTTTTGTAAAAATATCATTATTTGAATGGAATTATTTCAAACAAGTGTATTGAAATCTGTGATGACAGTTTGTAAATCTGATTCATCCAGTTCAACTAAATTAATGCCAAGATTCTCAAATTCAAGAAAAATGTCATTAAATGTCATATTATCAGAGTCAGTGTCTGATTCAGAGTCGTAAAGGTGTTCAACTTGGGTTTTCTCGTTGGGTTGTTGGATATTTGCATCACCTGAAGGTAACATTGTAGGGCCATTTGAATTTAAACAAGACTGTCCACATTTACATCCAGGACCGCATGACTTTCTTTACTTTCTACATCCACACTGATTGCCACTACAATTAGATTTTAAACACCCACACCCAGCTGTCCATAATTTTATATTGTTTGATATTTTTTCTAAATTTTCATCAGAGTCCCAAACAATGCTTAGTACATTTTTTTCAATCTTCCATCCATGGTCATTCAAAATTGGATAATGCACAAAATTTTGATTAGCTTGCTGCCATACAAGTTTAACCCAACAAAATCTTTTCCAGTGTAAGAATAAGGCATCATTTGATGGCAGGAAAAATTCTTCAGATGGAACTCGACAGTACAGTGCATCTCTAATTTTTGAAAGCCAAATAAAGTGATTTTCTAACGGGCTTAATGTTTCTACAAAAACAGATTGAAATAAATAATGAGGAGATTCGATCCTATCCTTTAAGAAGGCAGAGGAACATTTCCTCCAATATTCACACCCAACTAAACGTAAAAAAAGCAAGAAATCCTGCATTTTCTGTGTTATCACTATCACTTAATATTCCTAACCACCCCTTTACAATATTATTAGAAGTAATAAAATCTGGATATTTGAAAAACATCTGATAGAAAGAAGTTTTACCATGGTCCCTAAAAAAAGATACATAATCACATCCAGTAACAATATACAACATCTGAAAAATTGATGGTATATTGTCATGAATGTCGTTTGAAATGCATTGTAAATCTGGATCATTTTTCATGGAATGAATAAGCTTATTCATGTTTAAATATATGACATCCTTCTTAAAAGTAAGTTGAACAAAAACCTGTTTGTCTAAAGTTTGTATAAATGGTAAACCAATGTTGTATGTGTCATTGTCTGGCGAATAAATAAGCACAGTATCACACAAAGTTTTTTCAGCGTGTAACCATACTCGACTGTCACCCTCTGATATATTAGTTTGAAAATTCTTGATTATTCTTATCTCATTTTGGACAACACATTTTGATATAGACGAATTGTCAAAACCACCACCAACTACAAATGTTTGATTTAATTTGATTGCATTTTGTGAAAGTAATAAAAACTGTTCACTTATTAATAAAACCAGTTGTTTTTTGTTGTTTCTATTTGTCAAAAACTTCACCCAGTCCGAGGGTAGTTTGGAAGATTCAGTAAAAGAAACACCAGATGTATTTTCATTTTTTAAATCACGTCTGTTTCGCTCAATGTCCTTTGGGGAAAGCTGAGGGGACTGATCATCAAAAACTAGATGCACTTCAACTGTATTATTATTATCAAAATAGGGTAATATGCATTTTTTGTAAAGGTAAATAATACAATCAGTAAAAGTTTTATGTGAAGATAACAAGGGTTTGGTATGTAAAATAAACATCCCATCTATAACTACACATTGAGGAGTTTCATTTAGATTATTTGTGAAAGAATCTGGGTATTGTGAACGGAAAATTTTTTAAAGTTTTTGATTTGTCACCTTTATATGGTAAGCCATCAGCGTTAACAATGGCTTTCGGTAAAGCAATAAATTGTTGAAGATCTGAAACTGGTATGTTTTGATTTTTTTACCAGGAAATTTGTTTCCTTAGTAACGAATTTTCTAAACGTTGATCTTTTAATTCTTTTTTAACATAAGAAACAGTTTGTGGTTTAAATGAAAATCCAGTAATTTTTTTGGTTTTATTATATCTAAATTTAAAGTCAGTCATACAAGATTTTATGTATGTCATCAAATGATTAGTGGCTACATTTTCATATGATAACAGGTCATCTTTTTGTAATTTTGTTAGAATTATTTTATCATTGAAAATATGTGATAAAGTTTTGTGCTCAAATTGCACTAAATGGCTTTGCCTGAGATTCTGTATATACAAAAGTATGTTTTCTTCTTCAAAAGTTGTCCTAGTAACTGCAGTTTTGTGAATGTCTGGCTTATTGAATGAAATTTCTTTTTTTAAGTTTGTTAGCACTTTAGCTCTATGTGGAAGATAATGAACCAGTTTTGACAATGCAGCAGAGGAAAAAGTTCTCATTGCACCCTTAACTTCACGATTTATACAACTCTCGTGTGCTTCATCCAACCCCTGACTATGAATGTTTCTGCCAGATATGTTCACAACAAAAGCACCTTCTTCAAACTTTTTTATTATGCCGGCTGGAAAATTTTTCAAGTCGGCTATATGATATGGTAAAAGTCGGGCATAATATTTGCTTTCAGTAATTTGGGTAATTTTGGTCACTTCTTTAATACAAAAGTTACGAAGTTCCCAGTTACCAGAACGTATAGCAAGGAAATACGCAATGTAAGTAAAGCAGTGCTTACTTAAAAATGTATTCCAAAATCTCCAGTTTTCATTTTCCTCACAAAGCTGACCCAATAATTCTTTATATTCAAATGAAAAATTTTGGAAAAATTGCATTTCTTTCTGTATTTTCTCTAGCATTGTCTAGAGGGGAAAGTGTATCATCTGATAAAATGTCAGATACTCTTTTAATATGAATAAAATTGTCATTTTGTTCATGATTAAAATGAAAATATTTAATAACAGTTTCTAATTGAAAACGAAAAAGTGATTCCCAGAACTGCAACAAAAATTCATGCGTTTTATCAAAGTTCACAGCCTGTATAACAGAATTTGCAGTTGCACCTTGATGGAAAATTTCAATGAAATCTTTGAGACCAGCATCAAGATACAACTTCATAAGCATCCTCTGATAATTTTTTAGTATGTGCCAGTCCCCTGGAAAAGGGAGGACCCAATCAAGTTCCGATCCATATTCCCCTTTGAGCTTTACTAAGAGGTCATAGCTCTTTCCATCACCAACAACAACTAAATGGTTGATATCCTGACCGACATTTAAATTTTGATGAAGTATCTCTAATGAATGTTTGACAGTATCTTTATTGTCACATTGTTCGTCTAACAAGGACAGATATTTTACCTCAGATTTTTCAATTGGAGTATTGTTAGTTTTTTTACTTATAAAATCTTGAATACCAGGGGATTGTGAATGGCTATTTGGACAGGGCAGTTTACAAAAACAATATTCGAAAACAGTAGAAGCAAAGCTTTGGGCAACTGCAATTTCATTTTCTGATTTTTCAAAATCATTTTCATTGAAAGTTTTTTTTAAATTAGATTCCTGTCTGTTATTATTGGAATGTTCTAGAGTAACTTTTTTAACAACATTTTCTAAATTAATTATAGACTGATTAAAGAAATGAAGATCTTCTGGTTTTCTTTTTCTGTTTCGAGCAAATTGCTGAATTTCAGAATCTTTCACTACTTCAGCGCAAATGGCTGAAATACTGGACAATTTTTTATGAAAACAATTATACTTTCTGAAATCTGAAACATCAGTTATATTCTTTGACATGAGAAAAATACCACTGTCAAAGTATAACCTATGATTTATTAAAGGACAATACTTTCCATCAACTTCCATAATGTGGAAAGAATGATTGGTTAAAAACATGGGATTTATTTTCTTCTTGAGGTGTAAGTGATTTTGGTTTAAGGGATTGTTTGTGTTCATTTCATAGATATAAATACAGCAACCTGTAGCAAATGATACAGCAGCTAAATCTACTAAATATGCCTCTCTTCTGGTATTAAAAAGAAACAATTCATGGTTTATGTGCTCATCTGGAGAATATTTTGAAACTTTAGAAAAGTTTTCATCACTTAAGTAAAAAGGATCTGATAATATTTCTCTCAGAGATTAATCCATTACTGTATTTGTTAGCCAGTTTTCCATAATTTTTTCAATATTAGAAGTGCAAATACCATCATTATCTCTTTCAGATGTAAGTATACCATAATTCATCAAAATGGCAATTGATTTGTAAAGGGAAATAACTTTGGAATCATTATCTTGAAATAAATTGATGGAACGATACTCATCTTTACCATACAAATAAATATTTCCTTTTAAATACTGTTGCTTTTCCTCAGGCAATAATTCTATTGAAGGCTTCGGTATAACCAATTGTATTGAGGTTCCATCAAAACCACGATGTGCATCTGTAGACTTAACAGCAGAATAAGATGATCTTTTATTAATATTATCTACAGATGCTATTTGGAACTGACATTTTGAGGAATTTACTGAATTGGATTTCCTTTCTTCAACAATTTGAGTTTGATATCTCTCATAAGTCTGTTTATAAACACATATACCAAATTTATTTAAAAGGTTGAAGCAATCAGTAGAAGAATTGGTAAACTTGTCAATGATGTCAGCTATTAACATTTGAAATTTGTTACATTTAGAATCTCTTTTGTAGATTAAACAACAACAAATATTAACAGTGTTCCAGCTTGAATCTCAGGGCAGAGGGGTGCTAGTTGTCTGAAAGGGCACTTTAGCGTTATAACCCAGATTTTAAGGGCAATGTTGGACAGTGTATAAATTACCTTGAATATTGCGAGGCTCAGCTGGAGAACATTAGTTGTATTTAAACCATATTCAGAAATTAATGTGTTCTTGATGTTGGTTCCAGTAAGAATTTTTTTTCATCAAATTATCATACCATGAAGCAAAGCATATCATTCTGATGTTAATCTAAACAAACTTGTACATTTGGTATGGAAAATAATCATCAGAAATTTCAATGTTTTATAACTTATACCAAAATAAACAAGTACACTGTATCTAAACTACCCCGGCGAAAAATGTTTGGACTCAATAGTATCTAATGTCCGGTACGGTGACGGACAATAAACAGTCAGAGAAATGTAGAAATTCTGTTTATTTATTTGTTGTTTTCATGATATTGAAGAATATACATACACATATAACTATTTTCGATAGTGTGATGTAATATTTTCTACCACCGTTCTAGATTTATGGAGAAGTAAGTAAAAATGCACATCAAAATGGTGAATTGAGTGAACCCTGCCTCGAATTTGTTTAATTTCTCTTTAAATTGAGCACATTGTACGGAAAGAAAGGTACGGAAAGAAAGATATTAACACGGAGATTTCAAGACTTTTCACTATGATCGCCTCAATATTTGCATGTCTGTGCATGGAATGAAAGAAGTGGGTCATGTCAAAATTGAAGCACCCGGTTTTGTCAATGTGTACGACCCGGTTTTGTCCTTATATTTCACAAAGCAGACCCGGTTTTGTCATAGAAAATAATGCATAATCGCATGACGAAAATTAGAATATGGCGTTCAACAGCAGTTTGAGGGATCGTTGAAAAACATTTTCTTTCAGAGGATAACTTATAACCTGTTTGAATCAGTAAACACTTGAACTCCTGCTATATTAGAACAAAGCAAATTTCAATTTTGTATTGTATAAAAAAAAAAAGGAAAAATTAAAAAGAAATGAAGGTTTTGAAACGGAATTAGATTTTTTTATATCATCTATGTAAATTTAAGTGTTCAAACTTAATTAGTGTACGGCCTTGAAAATTTAAGGACGCACATTTGATATGCGATTTTTTGGGACAACAAGATGGTTATCTTAGTGTTCCGCTCTACTTAAAGGGAAGACAGTATAATCGTTTGAAAATAAATATTCTGAAACTAAACGTTCTTTATAATGCAAGAGAATAAGACAAATGTATGTGCATGCAGAATCGCCAAAGAAAAGGAATTTCCATGCGGCGCAAAGGATCACAATAATAGTGCGTTAAAAATCTGTTTACCCCTCCTTGTTATAATAATACTAAGTATAAATTAGTATAAAAGTCTTAGGCCATCCGGAAATTGCAATAATGATTTTTTGATTAGTAATTTATATAAATAAACGATGTTTCATCTCTCTTTTTTTTTCTTTTTTTTTTTTTTTTAACATTAACAAATTCTTTAATGCACTAGTATCAAGTTGTTAACAACTGCCCTATATAGTACAACTATTATATATAGGTTTATCTCTTCATTGTATAATGATTATCGTACATTGACAAATGTTCTACAATTTAAGCAATTTGGTCAAGTTTAAAATTGTCAATATGCAAGGGCGGACCGAGGCCATGATTTTTGAAAGGGACGTATTCATAAACGGATTTTATACCGCCGAGCGTAGCAAGGGGAACTTTTTTTTACGATTTTATGCTAAATAAAAAATCATATATAAATCGTAAAA